AAAAAAAAAAAAAAAAAAAAAAACTCATTATAAAATAGGAAATTCAGTGGAATATGTTTGGTCAAAAGCAATTATATGAGAATCGCAATACAATAACGTTTTCATTTAACTTATCTAAAATCACTTTTCAATTTTATTTTTATCCCCAAAACACGTGCATAACGTTTGTCTAAGAAAATGCCAAATTTTATAACAATTTGTCTTTCATTAAGAGATAATATATGAAATGATAGGATTGAATTTGATTAATTATTTTTAAGTTTAAAATTAAAATATATCAGATATTAATTTACAGTCTATAAAAAAAAAAATAATAAATTAACACGGTCTAATAATAGAATTGTCATCAATTATTTAAAAACCTTTCAAATTATATACTACCCCCAAATACAAGTAGTTACGAGGGTAAACTCGACATTTAACACAAAAAATCTAAAGTTTTTATATTTTGTAATTTCAATTAACATTTGAATTCTAACTACCGTGCTCCTAAACATATTAATAAAATAACGAAAAACATATTATTTCCACAGCTTTTCGCCAACTTACCAAATTGTCCTTAGTAAGAATCGGCATTGTCGTCCTAAAGAGGGGCATTGTCGTCCATAGAGCCATTTTGATTGCAAACAGCCTGGACACCACAGCCGGCGGTCGTGCGCTCAGGTATTTGCCCGCAATTTCCGCTTTCAAAAATAACACTAAATTAATCAAATATCTTTTAAAAAAAATATTGTATAACTTAAAATAAATTTTATTGTATTTTTTTCCCTTTCGTTTTACAGTTTAGGTAAGCAGCTGATTAGGATGTCACCCAATAATATTTAAAAAAGAAAAAAAAAATGGTGCTGATGGAATAGTTCCATTAAACAAAATAATTCTAAATGTAAAATAAATAATCATAAATATAACATTATTAAAATGTTTATTAATCCATCAAACGATAATCCCCGGTTTATAATTCTTATCCTTTGCATCCTAAAATTATTTTTTATATCATATTTGTGTTTAGTCAATTTATAAACAAAGCTAATATTAATAAGAAGACTTTTATTTACATATATTTATAAAATTAAAAAAAAAAAAAACATTGTTTCAGGCAGATACAATGACTATGGAACCGACAAAAGTAGTTCTCCTCAAACGTGTGGTGGTCGCGGAGAGGCCCCAGTGTTTTAAAATGAAATGGGACATCTCCCTTTGGCCCTCTTTTTTTTTTTTCTTTTTTCTTTTTTTTTTTTTTTTTTGTGGACTTTATTTAATATTCTAATTAATTTGTACCAAAAATCAACGGTCAATTAATTATCTCACCTGGATTATAATCTAAAAATATTTCAATGCTTTTGTGGGATTAAAAATTATTATTCGTTAACAAACAATTGACGCGTTATCCATAAGAAACAACGTCATAGCATAATAATAAAAATTTGGCCAAAAAAAAAAAAAAAAAAACATGCAGCAATTTCATTCTTGGTTGTAATTTATGAATATAAAATTATTTATTTTGGAGAATAAATTGACTGGCGTCGTAATTGCAAAAAAAGATATTATAAAAGTTGTTTCAGATTTATGACTCAATAATGCAAGAAAACGTGCAAATCTTTACCAATCGCCATTTACAATGTGTCCTTCTCAATTATTTCTCGATCTCCCTTTTTCTACCGATCTTCCTTAATCAGAAATGGATAAAGGAACTAAACATTCTTTATAAAAGTTAAAAATCTATTACTAGTCGAAGTATTTTAAATTTTTGTTTGATGAGAGTTAAAAAAAAACAGACGTGAATTTAAACTATTACAAATAGTATTAAAGTCAGACATCAGTAGTGTAGAATAAATACCGACGAAGATGTCAAGTCTCGAAGGGGTGGATTGGATTGGAGAGATCATAAGTTTAAGGGAGAGTTACTATTTGTTTTGAGTAGTGGGGTTTTGGGGTTGGGGCACTGAATATGCCAACTCACAATGAAAATTGGAAGGGGAAAAAAAAAAAAACTAATTGGTAAAATATTTGAAGCTCTTTCCTAGTCCGTAGCTTGAATCAATGACACCACTACAGTTTACTACACTTTATTGTATGCCAAAAACAAAAATCTGCTACCTACTGGACCCAGAAATTTAGTGCACAAGGGGAGGTGACAGTAGAGAGTTCGTGCATCTTGGGCCACTCAACGGCCATGGGAGTGAGGCCGAATGAAGATCTTTCAGACACACCACCTTGTGGTTTAATTAACAAGTGTTCCCACAAAATATAAAGCAACATTTGGTTATATGGTTGTTACAAACTAGCCCCAAGGCAGCCTAGCTAATGATGGGTCGAAAAATCTAAAAAAAATGGATCTTCATTGCAGCTCTCTTGATGACATCGAGCCTCCATCCTTTGAAGGAAGGGTGGGTATGAAAAAAATGGTTCCTTCTTCTACGTCAAGCGCGTTTCTCGACCACGTAAGTACTGTAGATATCGCTGGAGATTGCAGCCATACTTGACAAAACAGCTAGTAGGAACATTAACCATGCTATCACCCTGTCTTTCTTTGATGCAATCCCACAAGTGTCTCTGCGCAGCAATGTCACGTGAACAAACTTAATTAATAAGGATCAAAAGCACTCTCTAACTTCGAAAAACAGATCGAGTAAGGATGATTACTGTTAGACCGACATGGGGAGGAGAATGAAATATTCTTTATAAGAGTATGAAAACTAATGTGTTTTAAAATTTTTGAGGGAAAGCCAGAAAGAAAAACTACAAAGAAGACAATAACTAGCGGTGGATTTTGGTTATTAGAGTCAAACACTAAGCGATGTGTCAGCGAGGAGGTTGAGCTCCGAAGGGGGTGGACACAAGACGATATGCCAGTAAGGAAGCTAGGCCCCGAAGTAGGTGCATTGGAGGCTCCCATATCGATTGGAGAGAGGAACGAGAGCCAACAAAGATGCTGGATCCCGAAGGTGGGTGGATTGTGAGATCCCACGTCGGTTGGAAAAGAGAACGAAATATTAGTTGAAAGGGTGTGGAAACCTCTCATAATTTGGAAGCTCGAAAGTAAGACAATATCTATTAGGGGATGTTACAATTACGATGGTTTCAGTAAATTTAATTAGATAATGCTTCAACAATTATCAATGTATCTAAACTAATAGACTTAGTGGTTCTGGATTACCTGAGGACGAGAGCGGCGGGAAATATGAACCCAACAGAGATGGCAGCAGTGGCTCCAGTGAGCTGAAAGGCATCCCAGATGCTGGGAACAAAGTTAGCTCCAATGAAGATGAAACTCATGAGAGCTACGGTTATTGAGAAGAATCGTCGGTTATTGAAAGCAATAGGTATGGCACAGGGAAAGAGCAGGCCGTCAACGTTGAGGCGAAGGGAGAAGAAAACAATTGGAAAAACAAGCATCAGGTGGATGCCATAGCTCACCCTCACAACATCATCAAGCAACGAGCTGTATGGAAGCCCAAGATCTCCATCGAAATTGGCAAGGACATCATCCAACGTTTGGTCTCCAAACAGGATAAATCCGAAGAAGCTCGTCGCGATATATAACGACGAGCATATTATTAGAGATGTTCGAACTATTGATTTCATTTGTGTCGGATCTTTCAGCTCATTCTCAATTGGGAGAACTGAAAAAAAAAAAAAATGCAAACACAATATTTAGAATGACTTTCCAAATGTTTATAAACACGTTTTTAAATGCTTACAAAAAAAAAAAAAAAACCCAAATAAGATGTTTATGCTAATAACATTGCTATTATTATAAAACAAGACACGATCTTACCATTATGGTGACAGATATAGGCAGTGACTAGGATTGGAACAGTGGTAAAAAGTTGCCAAAATGATGCCTGATCGAAAAGTTCAGGCATCAGTCGCGGCATTCCAATACTCCCATCCATCAATTTTGCAATGGATACTCCAGCAGTGATTGCCACGAAGACAATGGCCAAGCCCACTGACAAAGATGATGTGTATCTCAAGGAATCTAGCAAAACCAACATTCATCATAAAAGTGAGTACAAATGACCAAACAATTTCCAGTTTGAAGCCCAGTTGACAGTAGAATATGAAGCACAAAATGATCTACTTGGAACAAATTTTTAAGGACATTTTGCTGTTGATTACCAAAATTTTAAACTTATATTTGATAGATTTCAGAAGTTACGTATGGTTGACGACCTCACGATTTTAGAACGCGTCTATTATAGAGAGAATCTAGCCCTACTCTAACAGAAGACGAGTGCGTTGCACCATCTCATAACTGGTTATGATACTATTTGTAATAGTTCAAGCCCACAACTAGTAAATATTGTCAATTTTAGTCCGTTGCGTATTGTCGTCATACTTAACTGCTAACTTTTTGGAGGGCCTTTGCATAGAGCGACTAAGGGAGCAAAGCCATTGGAAATTGAAACCGTCCTACTGACCTAATTGTAAAAGCAACCAATGATATGCGGCTGAAAATAGAGGGTATCATACCTACGCGTTTGAAGGAGATTAGAGGCGCAAAAATTAGAAGCGTGGTAAACAGCATCAAGGATGTGCGGCTGGTCCACCAATGTTGACCGAACCATTCTTCCATCACGCCCTTATGGTGGACGTTATTTGTGGTTGTTCCCGAAAACACATCGCCTTCAAGAAAGGAGATTGAAAACAGTTAGAAAATTCCCAATTATAATACATAAAATGTTACGATGCAAAAATCATGTGATTCTGAAGGGGAATAAAGGGACCTACCGATGATGATCATGTAGACGATGAGCATACCCAAGTTATTGACCACGATGCAAACCTGCAAGAGGGTCCGTCCGACGCTTCCGAGAGAGTCGCTGACGGCGCCGGCGTACGTAGCGGATTTGGATGTCCGAGAGAATTTTAGGATAAAGTCAATTGACAACTCCGTCAATGTAGAACCGAGGATGATCATGACTAAGCCTGGAATTAGACCTAATTGCTTCACGGCGGCCGGGAGAGCCATGATACCAGCCCCGACGATGGTGCTCGAGAGGTTGAAGACGGCGCCGGAGAACGACGCGCCCTCTAACCCTTCCAGAGGCTCCTGATGGGCGTATTTTTCAGGGAGTAGGGACTTTCTAGGGCTCCGCCGGTACTTTCTGTCGGCGGCAACGATAATCGTCATTTATCGGGATTGGATTTGGCCGCCGTTCTCTGGAAATTTGGAGAAAATTAGTCGGGTCGCCGGTGCGTTTGTGTTAAAATGGATGTTGAGCTCTTACAGAGACATTAACGCGGGAACCAACGTGGCCTGGGGCTGTAGGTGGAGGAGCCAATGAGCTGTACCCACTTGTAAAAATTGAACGCGGGTGGGCCCCGCAGCCTTGGCTTCAATTCAACGGTTTTCTCTTGTACGCTATAGGTTTGCCGAACCGTTTCGGCAAAGGCCAGACGAGGAACTCTTGCGTTACATGCCTGTTACCGGAAGCAAGTGAAAGACGAATGAAGACAGGACACCTACCCACCAACTTCCGGAGTCTCCTCTCTGCCCGCTCTTGTACCTTCAACTTCACTGTCAAAAATGGGCATCAATGAAAAATGGTCACCGGCCTTTTAGACGCCTCCATCTCTACGTTATAGTAGACTATTGTGAGGTCAATAGTCTAGATGATTCCATAATTTTAAGATTTTTTCTTTTTTTTTTTGTCAATTGAGCTATTAATGGTATTTTAGTCATTTCATAAATCCTAGCCATTTATTTTATAAAAAAGAAGTGGTTTGACCATATTTTGAAAGGCTACGTTAAATTTAGTATTTATGTCTTTAGTCCTATTATTTATTTATTTATGTCATTTTGAAATTCCGTTCAATTGGAGTTAAGTCTATAGAGATATTAAATGGATGAATTAAGCTCACATTGACTAAAATAAATTATTTATATTTAAATTTTGTTAATCAACAATTTTCCCATAACGATTAAAATCACTTTTACAAAATGTAACTAAGTACCTTAAGGATTTGTTTGAATTAAGTTTCTAAGTGCTTAAAAACAAGAGGACCTAAAAGAACTCATTAAGCATTAGAACATCAATCCAAACATGTCATAAGTCCTTAAATTTACATTCAAAAAGTAAAATATTTGTAAAGAAGTTTCAAATAAGCACTTGAAACTCGTCCTAAATCTATGGAAGAAGAGCAAGTTTGATCAATGAGCTGTTAGGCAACGCCCCAACTATAGAGAAAAGGGGGACGCGAGAACCTCAATCAAGTTTTCCTCTTTCTTTTGGCGCCTGCTTTGCCTCCATTCTTGGGATCTAATTGTGATTGCGAACCCTTCACCTTTTCCCCTATTGCCGTACTCCACAAAGCCCTCTCTACATCAGATGGCGTGAAAATTTGTCCTTCTGAGCTTAATTCCTGCAAATGATCATCATCCTTAAAGAACAGTTGAATTAGGCAACCGCCTTCCTTGAATAATTAGAACGATTGCCTTCGTTTATTCCACATGCAAAGGTTGTCAATCTTACAAATTACATTGACCCATATATATGAATCTAGAATTTATGCTAAATACAGATTTATTCAAACTATAAATTCACATTTCTAAACTCAGTTTGAAACACCACTTCTGTTTTAGAATGCTAAACTCGTATCATGGCTTTGAGGAACAAATCTTTGCAGAGCTAAGGTCGTTAGAAAGTCAAAACACAGCAGGGCAATGTCAATTTCAAGACAGAAGGAAAGAAAGAAATTGATCCATGAAAGGATGGGAACAGAAATGCGCCTCGATTTGTTGGGCTCTGGAAATGAACTTAATTTCTACACATAATACACAAACCAAGGGGCTTGATAGGAGATAGATATAGCTAACAGACCTTGGCTTTGTCTTGCAACTTTTTTGCGAAGGTTAGGTATTGCTTCAATGAATAATCCTTGGAGTTGCCAAGAGCCGCTTCCATAGCCTACTTCTTCACCATCACAAGTTAGAAATCTAAGCGCGTAACAAATTTTCAAAACTCAAATGGCAGAAATCAATGGTTACTGATAATCTAATTGCATCAATATTTATCCTGATTTCACCTCGTCGGACATGAAAGGCGCAACATCCGGCGCGTAGGCGGCCAGAACCGCCGAGGCCGTAGCCGGACCGACGCCTTTGAGCGGAGTAAGCTCAGACACGGCTTTGGAAATATCAGGAAGGCATTGGAAGGCCTTCTGAGAGGCCAATTTGACGAGCGATTCATCCAATGATGAAACAAAGTCAAATAGCCGCGGCCTGAAATTCGTAAACTAATTGTCAATAAAATCGATAGGCAACCTAAATGAAGAGTAAGAGAAACAGAGCAGTGGTCACCTCCATTTTCCGCGAGTGAGCTTCCATTGCATAAGTTTTGAGAGCTCGGAAGTAGTGATGTAAGGGCTAGGGTTTCGCTTGTGGAGAAGAGGAGGGAGTTCGTTCCTGTAAAAATCATCCAGAGAAACCAAATTCGGCTTGCCTAAGGCTTCGATTTGAGAAGGATAAGAAGAAAGAGCTTCACTCCAGAGGCCTGGATCGGAGTGTGCAAACTCCACCATTGCAGCTTATGCGACGTTGCCGCTCCACTCTTCACGGGCGTTTTTTCGCGGCTGCAATGCAACTCTTGGTCTTGGCGGGGTTTTTGGGATTCATAACATTCGATAATTAGCCAGGTAATTGTATAAAAATTGATTATATGCATAATTTAATAGATATTAATGATTTAATATTTCAATATTGCCACTATTGGTTTTAAAAAAGCTCGTCTATTAATATTTAAATTATGAATTTGATTTTTTTTTTCTTAATAAAATGTCTAATAACTTAAAATATATATATATATAGTGTGTAAAAGAGGAAAGAAATAGAGAAAATAGATATGGTACAAAATTAGGAGTTTCAGTGCTGGCAGTCGGGCGCACGTTAGTATCGTGTAGGTTAATTCTGAAGACACATCCTATATAAAGCCTCATGGCCCGCGAATATTTTGTCTTCTTTTCTCTCCTTTAGATGCCTACAAAAAGAGTCCAGTTTCCTAGGGAGTTTTTGGGCTTTCGTTAAGCAACTCGGTCGTTGTCGCAAAGTGTTGCCACCGGAGAGAGATAAGCGCAGAGGAGTTTATTACTAATAGACGAAGAAAAAGAGAGGGAACTCGGAGGGCCACAGGAGGGAGAGTTATCGTCGTTGTCATCGTCTCCGTCGCATTGGAGGTCTCTGTGAGGTTGCTGGATCTGTACTCGGAAATAATGGTGGATCAGTGCGCGTTAGGCTGGATTTTGGCCTCAGTTATGGGAGCCGCGGCGCTATATTTCTTGTTCGGCAAGAAAAACTGTGGAGCTTCGAATGAACGGAGGCGTGAGAACCTAAAGAATATTGCTACCACGAATGGAGAATGCAAACCGAGTAACAGCGACGGCGACATTATCATCGTCGGAGCGGGAGTCGCCGGATCCGCTCTTGCCTATACTCTTGCCAAGGTAATTCTGTACTTCTGATTTTCGTCCTCTTTCGTTATTCTCAAACATGCCCTCTCTGTTGTTGAACTTTTGCACATTATGCGTTCGGAGATTGATTGTTTCACTTAAGAAATGTTAATGTGGAAAATCGCATTCGATTGGTTACTAAAATGCATTATGATGTAGTTAGGTATGTCCGCGTTATAGCTAGCCATTATCGCGCACAAGGAAGTATCACCGGTACTTTGTTAAGTCAGTATAATTATTTTACGCTCTGTTATCGCGTATGTGTTGTATCACAGATTGAATGTACTTTTATTTGATTACTTCTTTCGAAACTCAACCGAAGTATGCACTAGAGTTATGTGTAAATCTTATACAAAGTTAATTGTATCGTACACAAGGAAATATCAACCGCTCGTTGTTAAAGCCGTATAATCATTTTATGCTCTGCTCTCGCTTACGTATTGTATTACAAATTGAACGTACTTTTATTTGATTACTTCTTTCAAAACTCAACCGAGTTATGCACTAGACTTATGAGTAAATCTAATACATATTTATTGTACCGAAGGCCAAATATTCTCAATCGAAAGTTGTCTTGTTATTTCATTTATTGTCTAGAGTTCATACTCCGCGGATAAGCATTTCAGATTATTAAGAGTGATATACTTCCAAGAGGAGTATCTTCTCATCCGGAGGTTGTGCGTAGCCGGATTCTAAAGTTCGATTGCTTGTTTCAGTTTTTATCTTGAACGAAACACTTATTATGAGCACTTTTGATAAAAATGCCTGATCATGTCAATACATGTTTGTTTATTCATTTTTGTTTTTGTTTCAGATTTCTCAAAATACTTCCTTACACGTGATGAAATGAAATCAAAATCTCGAATGTAGATGATTTTGGAAGTTTTAGTGTTTTGAGAGTGTTTTTTTGTTTTTTTGTTTTTTTTTTGTTCTAAAGATTCTGAGAGCTGTTTAAGTTTTTACTAACTGAATCTCTCTCAAAATGTTTTAAGGTTTTCGTTATACTAAATCTTAATGGAAAAAAAGAAGGAGAAGGAGAAGGAGAACGCTTAAAAGAGGTGGAACTTTTGAGAAAGCGATTGGAAGAAAACTGTTTCATTCCAATAACACATATAAATATAGAGCCCTGTACACGTCTTGAGATAATTCAAAGATTTTCCTTAGTACCTAATATTTTGCTGATTAATGTAGATGACTTCCCTTAATATTTTGCTGTCAATTGTGGAGGCTAAAGAAAAAAAAAAGTCCAATAGAAAAGGAAAATGGACTTGTTATCTGCAAACAGTCTGCTTTGTCAACGTGTCAAGATTGGCCGTCGGCACTTTTTGGTTGTTCAGGCCATGAAAATATATATGCCAAAAAGCTGGTTCATGTGTCTGGAGCCTACATGAAAACGAATTTCTACTGTGTTCATCTCATTAACATTCGTTCTTGTAGTTGTACACTCGAGTAGATGGATTTTATTTTTGACACTCCTTGTTTATAGTCGATCTGTTAGCACATGTATTTTTTGAAAGTTTTGAATAATGAATGAACAATCGTTTAGTTATTTTCTCTGTGTTGAAGGATTTTTTTCCTATATTTACCCAACTTTAGCCCGTGAATGTTATATGTTTAAGTTATTTTTTGAATGCAGGATGGTTGTCGAGTACATGTGATCGAAAGAGACTTGACTGAGCCGGATAGAATTGTTGGTGAATTATTACAACCAGGAGGTTACCTAAAGTTAACAGAGTTGGGACTTGAAGGTTGGTTTATTTCATCAATATCAAATGGTTGTTTCTTGTAGAGGATTTTCTCCCGTGCCCTTGAGCAAACTAGAATTGGTTGTTGATATTCTGTATCCTATGCAGATTTGTAGTTGATATTATGTATCCTTGTAGAGGACTTCTCCCGTGCCTTTGAGCAAACTAGAATTGATTGTTGATATTCTGTATCCTATGCAGATTGTGTAGATGATATTGACGCGCAACGAGTGTACGGTTATGCTCTTTTTAAGGATGGGAAGGATACTAGACTCTCCTACCCCTTGGAAAAATTTCACTCGGATGTGTCTGGAAGGAGCTTCCACAATGGGCGCTTCATTCAGAGGATGCGTCAGAAGGCCGCAACTTTGCCCAAGTAATTCCCTTCTATCTGTTTTGTCATTATTGATTCTGTAGTGTATACACTCCCAAACTTGTACTTTGTTTAAAAAAAATATCCATTAACTTTTTTAATAATTACCATAAACTAAAAAAAAAATTAAAAAATAACCTTGTTAGTTTTGGATGAAAACTGTCTCTGAAATTTCAATCACTCTAAAATTTAAAAAAGTTCCATAATATCCTTACCATTAGTATATGATGGAAATTGTTAATACCTCCCTTGAAAAATACCTATAATAATACCTATGAACTTTTAAAGTTGCATTAACAGCCTTTTACCTTTCAATATGATAAATTTCATTGAAGTTTCTTGAGTTTGAGAGAACCAATTGAAAACAACTCGTATAAATATCCTCGTTTTTCTTTTCACATAGATACTCTTTTTTTTGTCTCCCTTTGTCCAATTTTTACACCCATTTCTCAGCAACCGAATAGAATAAAAACTACCTGTTAAAGCATAAACTCCTATCAAATACAAATAGTGTCAACGAAGGATTATCATTTTCGATCATGGAGTACCTTCTTAACTGATCATAACAAATAAACTAATTTGAACTGCAAAAAAGAAAAATCGTGAAGTCTTCATTGCTACAAATTTGGTAGTGCACACTTTTTTTCTCCCATCCGTTCTTCTCAAAACTAAGACTCAAATTCTTAACATATTTCTTTCTTTGTGCATTAAACTCAAGTAACATATTAACACACTCAATTACTATGTACAACCATTTTAAGTTCGAAGGTCTCTTGTTGGTTCTATTATTATGTTTCTTCATGCTATAGCTCACGTACCTTAACTGAATGAGGTAGTTTTAGAGATTGGAGACTGAAAAATGGGAAGTAAGAGGGTACTGAAGAAGAGAGGGTAAGAAACTGAAGAAAGATGGGGAAATGTTAGGCCATTGAAGTGGAGAGAAAGGAAATAGAAAAGAAAGGTGATAAAGAGTAGATAAACTGTTCCCGTGTTCATATACTAATGGTAAGATTTTTTTTTTTTTTGAAGGTTTAAGGATACTAATGCAGCTTTTAAAACTTTAGGGATGTTTTAAAAATGAGATATCAATGGTTTTTGTCTATATATTAATAGTAAGAATATTTTTTAACTACTTTTGAAAGTTTGATGGTATTATTGGAACTCTTGAAAATTTAGAACTTTTTAAAAACAAAATACAATGTTTAGATGTGTTTTCTAATTTAAATTTGAATCCTACATAAATTTGATTGGTGCAATCAAACTTCGATAACAGTTGCAGTTTTTGTCATTTTGCTCCATGATCGACCAATGCTTGTTTGCGGATTTGACAGAGAAGTCATATTATTGTAGTAAATGCTGGTGTATTGTTATACTAGCCCTGGGATTCACATTTTGTACTAAGACTCTTGTGGAACTTCCTTCATTGTTGAGAGTTTAGATTAAATCTTCATAATCTTCTAATGTGTCGCTCCTGTAATGTACAACCTTATAATAAGATTGAGTCGATAATTGTACTAGTATCTTTCTTTTCATTAAGTATTCGTATCGTGCTTTGTTTAGGAGTTATTATATATTCCTTTATTAATTTGTTCCTCCACCTTTCTAGTGTGCGCTTGGTGCAGGAAACGGTCACTTCTCTGCTCGAGAAAAATGGTACAATTAAAGGTGTGCAATACAAAAACAAATCTGGCCAAGAAACGACAGCTTATGCACCTTTGACCATTGTTTGTGATGGGTGCTTTTCAAATTTGCGACGCACTCTTTGCAACCCTAAGGTGCGAACACTCTTCAATTCTTGATAATGGAAGATTCATGTTCTGCTGATTATCATATCTATCTAATTCAAAGCCAATAGTTAGATAAATTTATGTTAAAAACAAAGATACTGTTCCATATGCCGAGAAGATTTTAAATACGAATCTTTTCCAGGTTGATGTTCCTTCTTGTTTTGTTGGTCTCGTACTCGAGAATTGTGACCTTCCTTACGAAAATCACGGACATGTAATACTAGCAGACCCTTCTCCCATTTTGTTCTATCCCATTAGCAGTACAGAGATCCGCTGTCTGGTGGATGTGCCTGGTCAGAAAGTTCCTTCTATTTCAAACGGTGAAATGGCAAACTATTTGAAGAATGTTGTTGCTCCTCAGGTGCGAATATATTCCTAAATCTTTTTCCATAATCTCATCTGTGAATGACCATGTGAAGTTTGCCATACACAGATTCCTCAACTTTATGATTCATTCATAGCTGCTATTGATAAGGGTAACATAAGAACAATGCCAAATAGAAGTATGCCAGCAGATCCATATCCTACCCCCGGAGCCCTATTGATGGGCGATGCATTCAATATGCGTCACCCTCTAACTGGCGGCTGAATGGCCGTCGCTTTATCTGACATCGTTGTCCTTAGAGATCTTCTCAAGCCTCTGCGTGATCTGAATGATGCACCCACTCTCTGCAAGTATCTTGAAGCATTCTACACGCTCCGTAAGGTTAGTACTCAGTTTATCTGCTTTTTTGTTTCCTTTTTCTTGGATAAATAAACGGCAAACCCCCAATTTTACCTTTTAGTATAACCATTTTCTCTTAAAATATATGTTAGAAAAAGGTTTTTCCAAGTTTGCATATGGTGATTTGGTCACACCACATACATTCATATAAAAATAACAAATATGTATACTTTTCTCACTACATATTTTTTCTTTAACAGAATTTTTAAATCAATCTTTTTAAATCAATCTTTAGCAAGTAAGTTTATTAAGATTATATAGTTGTTATGTGAGAATAGCGAAGTCTGCACAAATTATCGCGAATGATCACAAATATATATAAAAAAAGACTTTAATAATCTAAAATCATTTAAGAACTACACTAAACACATTAAATTGGCAATTCCTCCAAAGGTACGAAAAGAAAAAAGTTCAGCTAGCAAACAAACACCAAGTTATCTACATGTAATGAGTTTGTTTTATGTATGTAATTGTAGCCAGTGGCTTCGACAATAAACACATTGGCAGGTGCCCTTTACAAGGTATTTTGTGCATCACCGGATCAGGCTAGAAAGGAAATGCGTCAGGCTTGCTTCGATTATTTAAGCCTCGGTGGAATCTTTTCGAATGGACTGGGTTGAACCCTCGCCCGTTGAGCTTGGTTTTCCATTTCTTTGCGGTGGCGGTATGCCGGTTGCTGATCTCATTTCCTTCTCCTAAACGCGTCTGGATCGGAGTCAGATTAATTTCGGTACGTACTCTTAACGCTTCTCCTTTATTTATTTATTTATTATTATTATTTTTTTTGGAAACACTGAAAGCCAAGTCCATAAAACTTAAAAAGCATTTAATTTTTTTTTAAAATTATTCAGAGGATTTAATTATATCAAATCATTATTATAATCAATTCTGTTATCTAGGATACTAAATTAACGTAGTCTAAGCTGGACAGAATCTAACACAATCGACAAATATTGCCTCTTATTTTGTATTAATGATAATAAATGTTATTATTAATAATATAAAATGTAATTAGGTTTTTCATTGGAAATTCCGGAAAATGATTGATTAAAATTATTCTCATATTTCTTTTTCTGGAAGCATATCATTAAATACTAATCACTGTTTTCTCTACCATCTCATAAGAAAGTTTTCGTAATCGCTCATAAAAGTTATTCCTGTGTTTATTATTACCATTATCATCATAGTTATTTGTTTTCATAACTTCCTAACAATTTTTTGTTTTCATTCTGTTTTTTATTTAACCATATACGTTTGGTAAGTTTTTTCTTTTTCTATTTTTTTTTTTAAGTTGAGATGTGAAATAGAAATTACAAGGAGAAATTAAAGAGAGAAGGTTAAGCTCAAGAGAGACTATTAATTAGAGAAAAAGGAAGAAATGTTATGAAGAGAAAAAAAGTTAAAAAGATAAATAAAATATGTGAATATTTGTTAGTAAGGGTGAAAGGTTAGAGAGATAAAAAAGCTAAAATAGCTCTCACATTAGAAAGTATACCCTTTTAAACAGGTTACATAAAATATATTAATTGAAGAAAGAGATAAGTATGTTAGAGAGAAAAGTTAAGAAAATATAAAGAATAGTGTTCGAGAGAGAAACATAAGCTGGGAAAATAAGTACAGAGGATATGAGGTTTAGACTTTAATGACAAAAGCTGGAAAAAAAAAATATATGATAAGATAAATAAAAATATAAGTAATAGAGAAATAAGAATTCTAGTGAAAAAAATTTAGGAAGGAAAAAATTTGGAATGAGAAATTACAAAGAAAAAATATATCTTGAGACATTGAAAAAAGAAAAAAAAAATCTATTTTTAGAAATTGCCTTCCTAGATTTTATAAATTTACTTACGAGTTCAACTATGCCTTTTTTATACAGGAAAAAACTATTTAAATGTTTTATTTGTTAATATTTTGTTAATATTATTTTTGCTTATAAAATCATGTTCAATTTTTTAACCATTCCCATCCAGGAAAAAACTATTAAATAGCTTGCTTAAGTTTCAGAACTTAAACATACGTTTGAAAAATTATTTATTTATTATTTTCAAAATTTGACGAAGATCATTTAAAAATATGTGATTCTACGAAAGTCATAGATTTTTCAAATAAAAAATGGTCCTAAAATGCTTTAAATCATTTTTAGAGTGCTTGATAATCAATCCATATGGCATTAGGATAGAAATCTAACCATTTTGCATGTGGTGTAGGGTGCATCGGCCATTATATTTCCTATTATCAAGGCTGAAGGTGTTAAGCAGATGTTTTTCCCCAAAACCATTGCAGCTTATTACAGATCTCCACCACCGGTTGTAGACACTTGGATGATTGGATCAGGGGCTCTGTGGCAAACCATTTTGGCTCCAAAGATTTTCCTTCTAGCTGCCGTTTCCATCGAAGTCAGTTGGTCCCAACTAACCTAATTTGCTCCACTTGGGACGATTCAAGATGCTAATCCCCTATTAAACAGTTCAGAAAAGCAAATCCCGCAAACATATTTTTTAGAAACCTGTTCCTAAAAACATCTGACATATTTAGTATATTCCTTGCTTTCTAAACATATTTTATATTTCCTAATTCCCAACAATTTTTTAGCTGTTAAAATAAAAATTTTAAATATTAGAATAGAAAAACATAAAATAATTTAAAATTTGGAAAACAAATAACCTACATTATTTCTAACCTTGAGAACGCTATCAAATATATCAGTTAGATTAAAATTCAAATTTGAAAACACATTTGCAAATTTAAATTCCAAACCTTAAATATTTTAATATTTACAAATCTACTGACACAAAGTTGAACTTCCATCTATTGACCAATTAAATTTTTTAGAAACCTGTTAAATAAAAACAAATTAAAAAGACATTTCAAATTTCAGAGGAAAAAAAAAATCATTCAAAGAAACCAAGTAGTTATCAACAGACTTAAATTGTATTAAAAAAAGGCAGAAAAAACAAAACAAAAAACTAATAATCAAATAGGCCTTGAATATTATATTTCATAAGAAAATACTATGAATTAAAGATAAATATATGTAATAGAAATGCAATAGTTAAAGTCCTGTAGTTTGAATTGGCACAATATTTAATTAAGATTCAGATTTAATTAACTAATGCAGTGTCGAAAGCCTTCTTTAGTCTGTGTTTGGTCAGTGGATTGTTCACTTCAAGCTACGATTATCAGATTGTTTTTGTTTTAGATTTAATGTCAGTCAATAAGATAAGTTGACATTCGAATTCTGAGGTAGATTTTTCATTGAGAACGAAAACGCGTTCATATCCAAGGGTTAATGAATTTTCCAGGCAAAGTTTCCATTAATATATATAGCTTTTTGGTTAAAGGGTGACCTGTTGAACTTCCAATTCCAAATCCAATGTGATCATGACCTTGGAGGTGATTGCATCGGGGGAAACGCGATTTTTAGGCAGCTTGCTAGTCTCAAGTACCAAAGGCCTTCCTTCAAGGTTAATAAACTAGAAGCTTCTACATAAAATAAATTTTGAAAAAACGAAAAAAAAAAAGAAAAAAGAATAAGATATTGACCTAGAAGCTTGTTGAGGGGAATGCAAAAATGACCAACTAGAGCGAAAAACCAAACATCTTAACCTGGTAGTACCATCCAGAGGAGAAATGGGAGAAGGCAGGCTGTTGAAATAGAGGAAGGATACCAAATTCAGCTGATGCCTGATGTTATACGTAGGAAAGTACGATAGGGAAACATGTCTGACATGTGTTTATTACGAACTAGGAACTATTTCCATAATCTTTCGAGCAAGTTCTATGAAGTTAAAAGAAGAGCTTTCCAAATTTGGGAAGGAACTTAGCTTTGCTCGAGTCACATTCTATAGTGATCTCTGTAAAAAAAAACATCGGTATTTTCCTTCCCCTTCAAGTTCTAGTTCCATTAGAAACTCTTTTCTTGAAATTGTTATTAGTAAGGAACCTCTTTGAAATTATTAGCAGGGAAGGGAGAAAAAATGGAAATCCACCAAGCCATAACCAGAAACAGGGACAACAAGGTTTACCTAGTTTAGTTGAATTCTCAAACTAAAACTTTAACTATTTCCTATGAATGGAAAAGGGCTAGCTATAACGAAATTAAAATGCAGAGACTAAAATTCCAATGGGAGAAGAAGAAGAAGAAGAGCATTTTATTACTCACCTGCCTTCTCCAGGAGTCAATGGCAAAGATTTCCCATCACACCTTTATTTCCTGGTTTGATACGGGGATACTGCTTTGCCTTGGATCCAAATGCAGTCTGCAACAATATAAAGGGTTGATGCATTTAAATATGACCCTATGAACTCGGTATATAAAATAATCGGCCTCTGATGGGTTACTGATGGAAATACCAAAATGACTTCCGTGTAAAGAAGACGCCTCAAAACACACCAATAAAATTAACTTGGTCTTCTTTTTTATACTTATATCAGAACTTAAATCCGTCTGAGAATTAATGAGAAATTTTTTTAGTAAAATTAATTTTATGAGTTTGAAATACCTAGTTGCTATTGACGAGGTACAAAATTACTTGAAGATTTCAGAAAAAATAATCATCAGAGGGAAAGAAAGATGCAAGGGAAGTTCTGGGCACAGTTAAGAAATGGCATACATCATTAGAGAATACTTAAAAACAAGGGCATTCCCATTATTAAATACAAAACTAAAACTTTTCTTTGGACAAAATCAACATATTTTCCGTTGCTGCTTTAATGCCAAAATATACATACAATAGACGATTCACCATGCAAGGAGCACCTTAGTTTCATCATCTGTGCATTTTATTGTTTTCTTAACTAGCCACAAAAAAGACAGATAAAGTAGAAAATCAAGTCCAATTTGTCATCTTGTATTCTTTTAGAAAGAAGGAAGAATAACTTTATATCTATGAACAAAGTAAAAAAGGTTTAGCTTTTACTACTTCACATGATAGTAAGGCCTTTATTAGGTATAGTTTGATAACATAAATAATGGGCACAATATCATATTAGCAAAGAATATTAAAGCAACATGCGCACCTGTCCAGACCTGAAACTGAGCAGTGATAATGTCACATACTCTCACTTCGAGTCCCTGTATAGTCAATCTACCAATTGCTGCGTGATGTGTCAGTCACCCTATACCAACCATCTAAGTGGAATGATTGAATCGTATCCCCCAGGATCAGTTCCTGTCCAGCCATCATTGGTTCTCTTAATTCTGTTCCTCCTTCAATAGAGAACATTCAGCATGTCTTATACACATTTGCATATATATAATACATACACAAACCAATAATGTGAAGTCATAATTACGTAATACTGTAACTGAGAGAAGTTTGTAGTGAGGGGCTAGCAGGTTATGGCGTAGCTGTACAGTAGCAGCAAGAACACAAACAAGCATAGCCTTGCACGTTATGAGAATTAGCATATATCAGATGATGGTTCAAAATTAGACATTAGGGGCACCCAACATTGGCGTATGAAAAGAAAATTCAAGTAACCCTTTATAGTTAAATTGATAAAGCAAGGTACATGCACATGCAGTTAGATCCATAGAAACTGATGTAATATGCAGGGAAATTCAAGACTCAAAAATCATGTAGTAATTTGCAGCTCTTGATCAACTTCGGCTGCTTATATCCTAAGTTTAGTTTAGGCATGTGAAAGACACTTCCCATTAATCATATAAGTCGGGAGTAAAGATCAGAAGATGCAAGTAACAGAGCATAAATATTTGATGCCCCTAAATCTCTGCCGACACTTCTTAATATCTCCAAAAAAAAAAAAAAAAAAAAAAAAAAAAAAAAAAAAAAAAAAAAAAAAAAAAAAAAAAAAAA